ATCCACCTGTACTTTTTCATTTTCCTATGACATGAGTTCAATGGCTAAAGCAACTGTGTCAGCACCGAAACAAAGTTAAACATATGTTCAACCATGTTACCCACAACATCCATGAAACTTTTCAATGACAACACTTTTTTAAAAATGAATGATCGCATGTACTCCTGCCAAACACTGGATGGAATCACATCAGTGTGATGGCACTTGGCAAATTAACATGCAAAGCAAACATCGTTCATTTTTCCATTAAAACACTCGACACTTGATCACTAGTTGTAAACCAACTGGTTGAGTTCAAAAAAAGGTTCCTCCTCTTCGTCCTACTGCTTCAGGCTATTGGCCCCCACTGGCTTCGACCTGCCACTGCCCTGGTGCCTGTCAGCACTTGCCATGTCCTTCCCTGAAGCTGGAACAACTGCTTCCTGCTTGCAAGTGGAACCAGCTTTCAAGTGACTCAAGTGAGCACTTGATGGATCAAGCTGAGTCAGCAACACATGCCCAATTGCATGAGAAAGGCGGTGGGCAGACGGATGCACCTTGATTGTTCCAAGTGACTGGACCACTGAAAAAAAGACAAATAACTGCAACTAACAACAACTAGAAGTGCAGATTGCCACAGCTTGAACTTATTCAACTCAGACTCTGTTCCAATTAGACAGTTTGATCTCAATCACTTGAAAACAATTGCCAACCATGACTAGCTACTGAATCCAGCAACAGCCTTGTCCTTGTGCAATTGCATGACAGAATAATTGCCTGGCCATGCACGATGTAGCTGCAAAATATCTGCTGCAGTTTGGGGGCCATAATCCTTATTGCTGGGCATCCTGGGCTCAGTGGTGGAACCCTCGCACTTGACAGCTACACTTGAGCAAGTGCCTACTTTGGGCCATAAATTCAAGTGACAACCAGGTGACAAGTGGCAATCTCAAGTAATTCAAGTGGCAATCAAGTGCAAGCCCAGTCTGTAGAAATCGTCTGAAAATACGAGATTTGGAAGAGGGTTGCGCAATCACAGGTTTGGCTTGTACCCTGGCCTGACTCCTGACAGGGCTGACAATACAAGTGATCACCTTGGAAGTGAGCAGGCAGTGCACAGTGAAGCCAAGTAAGTATTAAAGTAGGTACACCCAATTCAAATCCCTCAAGACACAGCATGCAGCCTGCCCAAGCAAGAGCGAGTATGAAAACTGTAATGCATGATGTCTGTATATTTGAGTTGCAAATATAAGTAATACATGCTTGTCCCATTTGGACTTACAGTGTCGCTTACCACCGAAGACATGGCAGAAAGGCAAAACCACCACTGCAGTGAATTGAAATTGACATGATTTGTTGTTGTTATGTTAAGTGGCAAGTGATCATCTGAATTAAACTGTGAAGGTTTCTTGGCTGGCAGGCAGTCAAGAATTGAGGGCGCCACATGCCTCATGCAATGGCTACCTGGCAGCAGAAAGTCGCATTGAGATTCATTGTTGAATGCCAATGGCCCAAGGCAAAAATGAGGTATGAAAGGCCAGCACACTCTGGCTACTGCAACTAAGTCGAAAACACTTTTCCATTCACTGGCAAAATTGTGCAATGTCGATCACATCATGTGACACCCTTGCCTACAAGCAGCCTTGCATCATTCAAATGACAAATAACATATTCCATGAACCTGAATCTCAAGGTGAGGTTGGTTGAATTTCTACAAGGCTTCGCTGGGCATTTGGCAGGCAATTGAAAACAATGCTGAATCACTTCGCACTAAAAGGTTCAACCAACCACAGCCGCACTCCCAGAAAATGTTGCACACAGAGTCAAAAAGAATCCACTGTGCAAGAACACCAGCTGCCCATCACCTAGAGCGCAAGTGCACAAAATCGACTGGCTCATTGAAGCAGCCTGTCTAGTTACTAGTATATCCTTTGGCCCCAGGCAATACATAATAATTGAGGATAAATTAAGTTAAGATTCAACATAAATCCGGCCCACTTGGCTCATGTACAAAATCATGACCAAATCAAGGCTTCAATGATGATTTGACAGGTAGTATCATGTCAAGTCAAATTCGAAGGGGTGCAGCACAATCAAGTCAAGAGTTGCTCTTGGATATGATCAGGCCTTTGATCCACATTGAGGCTGGTAACACATTGCCAAACCTTCCCGGCAAGTGGCAACTGAATTGAGAATGTGAATGTCTGCAGGGTTTGATCCCCCAAATCCCCAAGAGCATGACTGCTTGTGATCAAACTTCATCAAACAACCACTCAATCAGCACTGAGTCAATATTTAACAGTACACAGTTCAGCACTTTCATGACAAATTTCCAATATGACGAACATTTTACATTCATTCATTGCTGCTCGGAAACCAAACTCCAATGTTTCAACATTCACTTGCCTCATTCAAAGTAACCAGCCGTTCTTGAACACTGGGCATTCCCCCCTCCCTTCTCTGGAAGTACTCTGCCGTCTTGGCCAAGTGAGTCTTCACCCTCTGATCAAGCATCTCCATTGCCAGCCTCTGGTGCTGAAACTAATGTGCAACAATAGCAGCTTATATAAACTTGTTAGGCAATAACACTGGTTCGCTGGTCACCGGCCACTTGTTATGAAAGGTTACCAAAAACAAGGAACCTGCGCACACAAACAACAACAACAAACATAATTTGATTCAATTAATGACCAAGGATCACAAACATAGGGTGATCATTGACATGGTCCATGGAAACTTTGTGACCTCCATCCATCCTAGGTGTGAGCATAACACCAAAATGATTTGAGATGCCAAGATATTTATTTCATTTCAAAATTAATCCAAAACACATTGAAAAAACAAAAGTTTTGCATTGGTATTGCAAGTTAGTAACTCAAGGTATGGTGGCCTGGACAATTTCTTGCTCACTTGGACAGCATGGGCAATGTGCCTCAGGGGCAATTGTTGAAGCAAAATAGTTAGTGTTAGTCAGTTAGTTAATTAGGTAGTTAGTTAGTGTGTAAGTTAGTGAGTGAGTGAGTGAGTAAGTGAGTTAGTTAGGTAGTTAGTTAGTTAGTTAGCTATTTAGTTAGTTAGTTAGTTAGCTATTTAGTTAGCTATTTAGTCAGTCAGTTAGTTTGTTTGTTAGTTTGTTTGTTTGTTTGTTAGTTTGTTAGTTTTTTAGTTAGTTAGTTTGTTTGTTTGTTTGTTTGTTTTTTTTTCATGTGTTAGTTTTTTAGTTAGTCTACTGAGTTCGTTCGTTAGTTAGTTAGTTAGCTAGTTAGTTAGTTCGTTCGTTAGTTAGTTAGTTTGTTTGCTTGTTTGTTTCTTTGTTTGTTTGTTTTTTCATTGGTTAGTTTTTTAGTTAGTCTACTTAGTTCGTTCGTTAGTTAGTTAATTAGTTAGTTAGTTCGTTAGTTAGTTAGTTAGCTAGTTAGTTAGCTAGCCAGCCTGGTCAGTGAGTTTGTTCATTATAATATTAATATGTGGTGGTTTACATATTTTTGTGGTTACTTTCAAAAAACAAAAACCGTCAGCAAAGTAATCTTGAATTAAATACATCTCCAACTTGTCTTCCTCCGGCAGCCGGCAGCTCCTCCATCATTCGCTGGGCACACACACCTCATAGTACGCCTGTGCTATGCCAAGGTCAGCTGTGGCAAGTGGCTCTGGCACAAACATAGCAAAGGTTGCTGTGGCCCCCTCCATTGATCAAGTGGCAAGGCTGTCACTGGCACTGGCTGACTAACACTTGAAAAAATCAATTGCAGCACAGCAACAATGAACAACAACCACCGCCACCACAACAACAACAGCAACAATTTGCGAATTGATGACAAGTTACTCTTGCTAGTATACAGCTTTGTACATTAGGAATTAAAAGCACTTCCGCAAGCAACACAAAAGCACTGCATGATTATTTCAGGAACAATCTCAAGCCCCACCACCCTTCCCCAAAGCAAAACATGCTTGGGCGCACCCTCTGGTTTCCAGCTGCAATCATCTGCTGCTCCAAGTCTTGCTCCAGCAAGTGGTACAGGAAAAGGAATTAAGCAAAAAAAAACATCTTGGAATCCACATCTTGGAATCCTCTATCCAACAAACATTAATTGACATTGCCAAAATATTTTCCGAGGGATTTGCAAAAGGCACTTGGTCAAGTGGCAAGTGGCAAGTGGTTCCTACAAGAGAGTTTACCTACCCCAGATTTTCTCAAATGTTTCCAAAAACCTTTTTTTTCAGGAAACATATTCTTTCTGATTTTTGAGGAATGCTAAAAACCCTACTGATCTAAAACCCTACTGATCTAGGGCTGGTCTTCGACATCCCGATCATCAGCATCATCGCCAACGTCATTTTCATAATCATCAACGTCATCGTCATTGCCGTTGTCACCGTCATCATCATCATCATCAACACCATCATCGTTATCATCCTCATCATAATCACCATCATCATCATCATCATCATCACCGTCATAATCACCATCATCATCATCATCATCATCTCCATCATGGTCATCATCTCCATCATCGTCATCATAACTATCACCTTCAACATCATCACATATATCACATGCAGGAGCACGGTCGTTCTAAACGCCGATGCTGTTGTTTGTTGTGCCAAGATCGAAGCATGGTGTCCCCTTGAAGTTGTTAACCTCTAGTTTCTCTGTGTTTGCAATGTGTGGAAGGTCTGCTCCCACCAATACCAGTCATCAAGGCTGTTGTAACTCACATCACACCACCCAATCTTTGTCATGTTGTGTGGAATCGTGAAGCCCCAATTGTTGGAACGGAGTGTGATGTGTTTGCATTTGGTGTGCAGAGTAACTCAGCGCAGAAAGATCAGGTCAGAAGCGAAATTTTGATAAATGTTGCAATTTGACTTTATGTAGCAATGTACTTTATTTTGCGCAATGAAAAGTGGATGCTGCAAGCAGCGCTGCAATGCAAGTGAGAGGGCTCGCCGGCTACGAGAGTGAACCGGGGCTCAGTCATACAAAGTCCTGCAAGATTAATGGGCCGATGCCAACTGAGGGCAGCTGCAATGCTTCAGAATTGTGAAGACATGGAAGAAGCTGGCACTGCTGCCTTGGCCAAAGTCATGCTGGAGCGCTGCTACTGTTGTTTGCCTGTGCCATTCGCGTTTAGCTTGAGAACTCTCGCTGGATGAGTTTCATCATGTTTTCATCAAACCCATCAATAAGCTCAGTACAAAACAATCTCATTCTAGTAACATAATCCTGAATTTCAGTGACCCTTTCCGGCTCAGTGGGTGTGTGACTGCTTGGCAACTATCCTTTGCGTATACTGGTGTGCTGGCGAGCCTACAGCCTGGCCACAAGCCTTATTTCCCTGGATATACGAGAACTCTAATATTTTGACATCCCAGACATCACCAGTGAGTCAATAGATTGACTGAACTGCTTTCGAAATCTTCGTGCGCCTTTCAGAACTTGCTGAAGTTGGATGCGCTGCCAGGAGCTTCAAGCAGCTGTGAAGGCAAAGGACATAGCAGAGAAAGAGCGGAACTCCGCTGAGGCAAAAGCTGCAGGTGACAAAGCGCGCTATGACTACAACATGGCTTATGTGCCTTGGCTTTGGCTTTGTGCTGTTCAAGTCCTGGTCTTGGGCGCAGTACGGGAGGATACGCTCATGTTCTCTGGGCATAGATTTAAAATTCCGTGCACGCTCGTGTCCGACGAATGCTTGTGGGCATGGTCGCTGTAGAATTTAGACCTCTTTGGCGAGATGTTGCTTCGTTGGCCTTTCCTACTTGCCACGTGAGGAAATGGAAGAAAATGAGAAGCAGGCAATCCTTCAAAAACGCCGCGGCCTTATTCAGGGATTCACCCTTCACTTTTGCCCTGCCCTCTCCAAGAGCCAAGGCATATAGTATATAGTATATAGTTATTTATTTATTTATTTATGTTTATCTACTTATTGATCTATTTATGTATTTATTTATTTAATTATTCCCGAGAGCGTTTGAGCGAAGGGTTCTTCTAATAGTGGGGGTCTGCCAAACATTTTCACATCTTCACATCTTCTCATCTTCACATCTTCTCATCTTCACATCTTCTTATCTTCACACCTTCTCATCTTCACACCTTCTCATCTTCACATCTTCACATCTTTTACATCTTCTCATCTTCACATCTTCTCATCTTTACACCTTCTCATCTTCACATCTTCTCATCTTTGCACATCTTCACATCCTCACATCCTCACATTTTCACATCTCACATCTTCACATCTTCTCATCTTCACATCCTCACATCTTCCCATCCTCACATTCTCTCTTGCCCTCTTGCTCTCTTGCCCTCTTTCTCTCTTGCCCTCTTGCTCTTTCCTTCTTCCCTATTTCTCTCTTAAGGCCGGGTGTTCCCGGTGACACCGCTCACTTTGTGTGGCAGGAGTGGCACTTGGCGACATCGAACTTCCACACTTTGTGTGGCAGGAGTGGCACTTGGTGACATTGACACGCATTCTGCGTGGCAGGCGTGGCACTTGTGACACTGGGCTGGCTCTGGTGGCGCGCTTGGTTCCCGGTGACGCCGCTCCACTTTGTGTGGGAGGGGTGGCACTTGGCGACATCGACGTGCATTCTGCTTTGCAGGCGTGGCACTTCTCGTTTTGTAAGGCATGTTTTGCGTGTGGCCACACAACGCACACATACACACATACACACATACATACACAAATACACACATACAGACTTACAAGCAACTCTCTCACACGCAAGTCTTTCATACGTACCTTTCACCATCTCATGTCTCTTTCCTGCCTTTCCCATTCCGTCTTCACCGTTCTTTTGTGACTTTTGGAAGAAGTTGACATGTGGGGTCATCCGGTCCTTTAATTATTATTTTCACAGCACCTCAAGTACCTATCTACCTACGTCTCTACCTACCTATCTATCTACCTATCCACCTACCTATCTACCTACCTATCTACCTATGTATCTACCTATCTACTTATACTTATCTACCCATCTACCCCCTGAGCATCATATATTCATTACAATCAATATATTGATTTTGAAGGCTGAAAAATCAATATAGGATATTGATTTTTCAAATCAAGGTAAAAAAATCATTTTGAACATGCAAAATCAAGAAGCAATCAATATTATTCAATATTTTAGATGCTGCAGCCACGTTTTTTACCGGCAAAACTGGAGATTTTGATTATTTGGAATGGGTGAAACTGCTATATTGTAGCCTTTTCCAAAGCATTCTTGGCCTTTTCCAAAGCCATCAACCCACAGAGGCTCACAGAGGCTTGTCCAAACCTAGCCAAAGTCTTTTTGTGTGAGTGCCTTTTCCAAGGCATCTCCAGAATGTAAGGAGAAACTTCTTTTCGAAGATGCCTAATCTTCCTCACTGTCCCCCACAGGTTGCTCCATGCTCTTAGTCAACAGGAAGTAGTAGAACAACCAGTAGTCCAAAGGAGGTGGGCAAAGGTAAAGCCCACAGGCTTTTGGCTTTTTGCCTTTTCCAAGGCATGGCCAGCTACTTGGGTTTGCTTTCTTCCAAAGCAACATTCCACAAGTTGGCTAGTGCAAGGCTGTGCAACCAAGCCAAAGCCCTTTCCAAGGCCACAGGGATGTACCTGCATTCAAAACTGCAACCCATAGCTCTTAGCATTCGTACCATGCCTTTCCCAAGACGTTTCCAAGAACCATTGGCTTTGATCTTTTCCCAAATCACTTTTCTTTCTTGCTCCCATCTAGGAAATACTGCACTTTCGAAAACCTGTTGGCACTGATCTTTTCCAAAATCACTTCTCTTTCCTGCTCCCACCTGCGGAGATATAGTCTTTTCCAAGACCCTTTGGCATTGACCTTTTCCAAAGCCCTGTGCTTTTCCCACAAAGTCTTTTCCAAGACCTTTTAGCACTGACCTAGTCAGTTGCCTTTCCTGCTCCTGGCTGTGGACACGGCCCTGCCACAAGTATTTTTGAGCTCTCTGGTCTCATCTTTGGCTGCCTTGACAATATTGGCCACATCCATCAGCTTCTTCTTCTTAGCAGCAGGCTCTTTGTTGTTCTTTCCAGACAACATGGTTTTCAGGTCTCAGTAGCTTTTCCAAGCTTTTTCCAAAGCCACTTCCAAATCTGTCTGGCTGGAAGCAACCATGCTCCGTCTTGCACGCTTTTAATATCTTTTCCAAGGTACTCAGCTTGTCGGGATCAGCCTCATTATTGTTGCTTTTGTTTTTGGTTTTGCCTTTTCCAAGACGTTTGCCCTTCCCAAAGCTCTTTCCAGAGCCTTTGCCCTTGGGGTGATCATCCACCTCCAGGGAACGGTACTCTTTGGTGAAGAGATCCATGAACTTTTCCAAGCCCCCTTCTTCTGGCTCACGCTCCACCCCACTCTGCCATTCCCTCTTCCTCTTGGTGGTGACCTCCCTGTGGAAGCTTTGGGTGTCTTTATATTCATAAACACCCCATGTGGAAGGGCACTCACTCCAGACAACTCTGCCAGACTGCAAGTGAAGGCCAAGTTCATCTTGTGTGAACTGAGCCAAAATTTGCAACTCTGCCTGCCAATCATCATTCTTGATGGCTTTTTCTCCTACAGATACCTTTTTCAAGGCTGACATGTAGGATTTGCCTTCCTTTTCCAAGAGAAAACAGGTCATTGTTAGCTGCCTTCTCCTCCTTGGAGCCATGCTTGAGACAGTCTGGCAGGTGCTTGCTCCAAGCCTTTGACTTCTCCAGCTTTGGCATGCTCCCATGCAAGGCAATGGCAGCCTGATCTGGGTCTTCTGCCTCTTCAGCTGCTGCCTCATCTTGTCCTGCAAGCTCATCTGGCCAAACTTTTCCAAGCTGGCCTTGCTGAGCTTAGCTTTTCCAAGCCCTTTGCCTTGATGCTTTTCATGGCTTTTTTCGGTGCCATGGCTTTTTTTTCATTTCACGCTATTTAAAACTACAAACAATTTGAACCAACACTACCACATGTAGTTGGTGTCATGCTTGGAGAAGCCAATTGTTCACCAAAACAATGGCCATGAATAAACCACATGTGGTTCAACAACAACAACAACAACACCAGCAGCAGCAGCAGCAGCAGCAGCAACAGCAACAGCAACAGCAACATCTGCAACAACAACAACAACAACAACAACACAAACAACAACAAACAACAACAAACAACAACAAACGCAACAGCAAACAACAACCAAACAAAACCACAACAACAACAACACCATTATCATTTAACATTCAAAATCATGTAAAACTATGGTGGCATAACATGTACATGTTTCAAACCCAAACCCATTTGATACACACATGTTTGTATACATATACATATTAAATGCGGTTGGAAAAGTCCCTAGCAAAAACACAGACCCAATTGTGTGTGCTGTTGTTTTTAAAGATGTGATTGCGCATGGGTTTGAAATTTATCAAATGGATAGTGTATATATATATATATATATTATGTGTGTGTGTGCAAATGCATTTTAAATACCAGTAGTACCCGCACGGGGCGGGGCGGAAGTTGCCTTTGGGATATATATATATATATAGAAAGACTTTTCTTATCTATAGAACTTGCATGCGCCGTGCGCCAGCCAAGCCCGTGCATGCGTGCACTCTGCGAAAGTGGTGTCTTGTTTCACATGTCACACTTGAAGCTCCACTTCGCACTTCACACTTCTCACTGCAGCCTTCACACTCCACACTACACACTTCACACTCCACACTTCACACTGCACTCTTCGCACTCCACACTTCACTTCGCACTGCACTCTTATGACTCCACACTTCACACTCCACACTTCAAATTGCACTCTTCACGCCCCACACGTCACTCCACACTTCATCTCATCTGAGCTCTTCTCACCTTATCCCAGCTCATCTCTTCTCATGTCATCTCTTCTCATACGTCATCTAAGCTTTCATGAATCACTTCCCAGTACTACTACTAAGGAACTTGCATGCGCCGTGCGCCAGCCAGGCCCGTGTGTGTGTGCTTTGTGCGGAGCTGTTGCAGTGTTGTTGTCCAAGAACATGACCTACGCGCAACCCCGGTGCAATGCAACTTCAAGCAAACATTTTCCTCACACTTCACATTGCATTCTTCACACTTCACACTCCACACTTCACACTTGCACTTCATTTCAACTCATCTCATCTGAGCTCTTCTCATATCATTTCATGTCTTCCCATATGTCAGCTACAGTAAGTTCTTCTTGGCTATTTTCATGTCATCTGAGCGCAGCTCAACCTTTCTCATCTCACCGAAGCTAGTCTCAATTCATCTCGGCTCCTCTGCACGTCAGAAAGCTAAAGACACAGATGCATTTACACAGAAGAATCTTTACAAAATACTTTGTACTACAAAGCTTGCACAAAGCACGTCCCAGTACTACTTTGTACTACAAAGCTTGCACAAAATACTTCCCAGTACTACTTTGTACCAGAAAGCTTGCACAAAGCACTTCCCTGTGCTAGTTTCCCAGTACTTCTTTGTACTACAAACCTTGCACAAAGTACGTCCCAGCACTTCTTTGTACTACAAAGCTTGCACAAAGTATTTCCCAGTACTACTTTGTACTACGAAGCTTGCGCAAAGCACTTCCCAGTACTACTTTGTACTACAAACCTTGCACAAAGTACGTCCCAGTACTACTTTGTGATACAAAGTTGGCACAAAGAGAGCTTTTACACACAGCAGGCTCTTTCGCAGAGAAGCTTTTACACACAGCAAGCTTTTTAAACAGAGAAGCTTTTTACACACAGAAGCTTTTACACACAGCTAGCTTTTACACAGAGAAGCTTTTACACAGAGAAGCTTTTACACACAGCAAGCTCTCAC